AACTCAACAAACATATGCTTTTTTTCCAACCAAAGTAACTATTTTGTCTTTTTTTTTCATTCAAAGTTTTTATTTCGCACAGCAGCAAAACTATACAAGGTCCTGTATTGGACTTGGGTATCATAATCAAAACTATTACAGAGAAATATACACAACCAAAGGCAGAGGCATGGGCAGCACATTGGTTAAGTGGTTAGCACTTCCGCTTGGTAGTACTAGGGTCATTGTTTCGAATCCCAACCACAGCACTACTTGCCTGGAGTTTTCATGTTCTCCCTGTGCCTGCGTGGGTTTCCTCCAACACTCCAGAGACATACTGGTAGGTGAATTGGATCCTGTCTAAATTGGCCCTAGTATGTGTATGTAGGAATGGGAGTTAGGGACCTTAGATTGTACACCCCTTGAGGGTTAGGGACTGATGTGAATGTACAATATATATATCTATGTGTAAAGCACTGCATAAATTGTCGGTGCTATTTTAAGTAAATAGAAATAAATAAATAAAGTACAAAACTTGGAAGATCAATGCCCGAGCAGTTGCCTAAATGGCAAGAGAATCCTAACATTTTACTCTGTAAAGAAGTATTGTATAACAATAAACTAACCCAGAGGTCGGAGTTCAAGTTTTCTTTTAATGTATTGTATTCCTAAGTGATATACATATTGATTTATACTTTCAGTATGCATGTACAGTATAGGACAACTATTTGGTTCTACTTTCCAGCAAACTTGCTTTTGTGTTAAGGTCGGACCTAAACAGAATTATGTAACATTTTGGAAAAAATATACATCCAAGAAGTCCAATGCTTGATGCCATTATAGCAAAAATCTCCACAGCCACCATGTCTTTCCCTTTAGTGCTCAGATAAGCCGGGATCATGGCAATCCAGACACTGCAGAACACCAGCATGCTGAAGGTGATGTACTTGGCCTCATTAAAACTGTCCGGTAATGTCCTGGCTAAAAAAGCTATAATGAAGCTCACAACTGCCAGAAGCCCCATATATCCCAGGACAGAGTAGAAGCCGATAACTGAACCCTCATTACACTGAATGATGATCTTTCCCTGATAAGAGTGAGTGTCCTGATCCTGGAAGGGGGGAGAAATAGACAACCAAGTGACACAGATTATGACTTGAACAAGTGAAAACACACAGATTATAAGATTGGGTAGTTTGGCTCCCATCCATTTCCTCCAGGGACTTCCAGGTTTGATGGCTTTAAAAGCAATACACACCATCATACTTTTGGCAAGTAGAGAAGAGACGGCAACTGAGAAGATGACACCAAAAGAGGTTACACGCAGCATGCAGGTTACATCTACTGGACGGCCGAGGAACAAGAAGACACAGAGGAAGCTCAGCATGGTGGAGACCAGGAGAAGATAGCTCAGGTTCCGGTTATTAGCTTTAACAATGGGGGTGTCCTGGTAATGTATAAATATTCCCAATATTAAACCAGTCAGAAGACAGCAGAAGATGGAGACAGCTGAAAATACGAAAACAATTGCATCCTCAGTGAATGAGAGAAATTCCACTGATTTTGGAACACATCGGTCCTTCTTCTCATTTGGCCATTCTTCATCAGGACATTTCATGCAGTTTTCTTGGTCTGAGTAGAAAATATAGCACAAGGACTTATTTATTAAAGTGTCTATAGACCTAATCACCTCAAACAGTCTGTGTTGTCCTACACAAAATGATACATGATCAGGAACGGACTGACAACTCATGGGGCCCCCGAGCAATAGGGGATCATGGGGCCCCTGGGTCCTTGCCCAAACTCAAAAAAGCCTATGAAAAAGGTAACAGAGGCATATCATGGGGCCCCCTACTGACCCCGGGCCCTCGGGCAGTGCCCGAGTTTCCAAATGGTCAGTTCGCCACTTGTACATGATAATGATTTAGCTTGCTGAACTGGCTAAGTTTTGACCAAATTCTACTTTGGTCTAAACCTGAAGCTCATTCCTGTAAGTGCATTTTCCCGGGTTATATTTGTAGCTAGTTTAACAAAACATACTCAAAATTTAGAAAATCCAAACTTTTCCCTAAAACCATTAAAGCAGAATTCCAACCTAAAACTATGTTTAAAAAAGTGTCCATCCCCCGCCTGCTACCTATGTTGCCCACCCTGTGTAAAAAAGATTTGAGTACTTACCTACTTTTAGTCCGACAATGACTGGGAATTTTGGGAGCCATTACATCAATCATAATCCATGACATCACTTTTAATGTTGACAATGACTGGGAATTCCAGGAGACATGATGTTACTCATAGGCTCCCATGTCCCAGCCATTGTTGGAGCTCTCTCTTCTCCCCTGCAGCAGACTAAAATAGGTAAGTACACATATCTTTTTTATACATGTTAGATAGCAGGAGCTGGGAGAAAGCATTTTTAAACATACCATTAGGCAGTAATATCCCTGCGAGCAAGCTTGTTGTGGATGAAACACATCTGGGAAGTACTGTTGGGTGGGGACACTATGTATGTATGCAGCCATCTCTCTTTTAACCACTCGCTTCCCAGAGGATTTACCCCTCTTCCTGACCAGGCCATTTTGGGCGATATGGAACTGCATTATTTAACTGACAATTGCGCGGTCATGCAACACTGTAAATTACATAAATTAAGTGTATGTCCCCTTTTTCTCCTCTGTCAGCTTTGCAGGGTGATCATCAGGTGTCGGCAGGGAATCTTTGACCAAGACCCAGTGATTGACATGCCTAGCCACTAATGGCGGCACGGGTAGGGTGGCGCACACGTTCCCTATCCAGAAATGCAAATCATATTATATATACGTGATTTTGACTTTTTCGTTCTGTACAATGAGCTTAGCTTTCAGACAGCAGCAACACCCAAATATCATTCATTTAGGTTTTTTTTTAAAAGCAATTTTTAGTAGGTTTAGCATCAACAATTTTATTTTATTATGGCATAGTCTGATTGCACAGTTTGTGAGATAATTCATATATAGATAAATCACACCACTGCACATCATCCTAAAAGTTAAAAAATGGAGGGGGGGGGAGGGGCATGGCCAAGCAATGAACCATGCTTCCATGTGGCTCCCCCTCTGATTGAGCTAAACTGCTTTTCCCAGCACCCACCATAGCCTGAACCTGAGTCAAAATTGATAAACAACAGGGTAGGGAGGTCAGTGCAGCCTTCAACATGGGTACCAGCCCCCAGCAAACCAACTTATCCCAATGTTCCCGCTACTCATTCACAAAATAAAATGATCAAGTCCTGAATAAAAAAATACCCCCCCCCCAAAAAAATGGCCCCTGTTCTAAATCCATCAAAAATCATGGTGCCCATTGCCAGCTAACTTGCCTGCCCAGAAAAACCTGATGACCCAGCACACATGACTGATTCTGATGGTACTCACAGCTGAATGACAGTTTCTCAAGCTACCATCAGCTATATAAGGGAGGGGGAAGGGATATTGGTGACATAATTGACCAAATAGGATCGTGCCCATATTTGGCCAATGTCAGAGATGTCACTGTGGTTAAGTGGCCAGGGATTCCCTGTGAAATAAAGCGATTCCTAGGGATGCAGTGAGTGCAAGGACCAGCTGCTTCCTTAAAGTGTTACTAAACCCCGGACCCTGCATTCACTATATCTGGTCTCCCCGGACCCTGCATTCACTATATCTGGTCTCCCCGGACCCTGAATTCACTATATCCGGTCTCCCAGGACCCTGCATTCACTATATCTGGTCTCCTGGACCCTGCATTCACTATATCCGGTCTCCCAGGACCCTGCATTCACTATATCTTGGCTCCACGGACCCTGCATTCACTATATCTGGTCTCCCCGGACCCTGCATTCACTATATCCGGTCTCCCCGGACCCTGCATTCACTATATCTGGTATTCCCGGACCCTGCATTCACTATATCTGGTATTCCCAGACCCTGCATTCACTATATCTGGTCTCCCCGGACCCTGCATTCACTATATTTGGTCTCCCCGTACCCTGCATTCACTATATCTTGGCTCCACGGACCCTGCATTCACTATATCCGGTCTCCCCGGACCCTGCATTCACTATATCTGGTCTCCCTGGACTCTGCATTCACTATATCTGCTCTCCCCGGACCCTGCATTCACTATATCTGGTCTCCCCGGACCCTGCATTCACTATATCTGGTCTTCCCGGACCCTGCATTCACTATATCTGGTCTTCCCGGACCCTGCATTCACTATATCTGGTCTCCCTAGACCCTGCACTTACTATATCTGGTCTCCCTGGACCCTGCATTCACTATATCCGCTCTCCTCGGACCCTGCATTCACTATATCCGGTCTTCCCGGACCCTGCATTCACTATATCCGGTCTCCCCGGACCCTGCATTCACTATATCTGCTCTCCCCGGACCCTGCATTCACTATATCCGGTCTCCCCGGACCCTGCATTCACTATATCTTGGCTCCCCGGACCCTGCATTCACTATATCTGGTCTCCCCAGACCCTGCATTCACTATATCTGGTCTCCCCAGACCTTGCATTCACTATATCTGGTATTCCCGGACCCTGAATTCACTATATCGGGTCTCCCCGGACCCTGCATTCACTATATCTGGTCTCCCTGGACCCTGCATTCACTATATCTGGTCTTCCCGGACCCTGCATTCACTATATCCGGTCTCCCTAGACCCTGCACTTACTATATCTGGTCTCCCTGGACCCTGCATTCACTATATCCGCTCTCCTCGGACCCTGCATTCACTATATCCAGTCTCCCCGGACCCTGCATTCACTATATCTGCTCTCCCCGGACCCTGCATTCACTATATCCGGTCTCCCCGGACCCTGCATTCACTATATCTGCTCTCCCCGACCCCCCCGCATTCACTATATCCGGTCTCTCCCGGACCCTGCATTCACTATATCTTGGCTCCCCGGACCCTGCATTCACTATATCTGGTCTCCCCAGACCCTGCATTCACTATATCTGGTCTCCCCAGACCTTGCATTCACTATATCTGGTATTCCCGGACCCTGAATTCACTATATCGGGTCTCCCCGGACCCTGCATTCACTATATCTGGTCTCCCCGGACCCTGCATTCACTATATCTGGTCTCCCCGGACCCTGCATTCACTATATCTGGTCTTCCCGGACCCTGCATTCACTATATCTGGTCTCCCCGGACCCTGCATTCACTATATCTGGTCTTCCCGGACCCTGCATTCACTATATCCGGTCTCCCCAGACCCTGCACTTACTATATCTGGTCTCCCTGGACCCTGCATTCACTATATCCGCTCTCCTCGGACCCTGCATTCACTATATCCGGTCTTCCCGGACCCTGCATTCATTATATCCGGTCTCCCTGGACCCTGCATTCACTATATCCGCTCTCCTCGGACCCTGCATTCACTATATCCGGTCTCCCGGACCCTGCATTCACTATATCTGGTCTCCCCGGACCCTGCATTCACTATATCCGCTCTCCCCGGACCCCGCATTCACTATACCTGCTCTCCCCGGACCCCGCATTCACTATATCCGGTCTCCCCGGACCCTGCATTCACTATATCTTGGCTCCTCGGACCGTGCATTCACAATATCCGGTCTCCCACAGTACACAACATGGAAATGCAATTATTTTAGTAAATATAAACTGTGCAGCAGTATATAGCATTCTTGTGATTTTTATCAGTATCCAGCTGAGCACTGGCTGAAGCTTATAGGACAAGTTTTAATTCTGCTCTGATTGTCCTATGACGCTGCATGACCCCTGACCCTCTGTCTGGACAGTCTTGATTGGTCCTGTGCTGATCACATGAACCTGGCCAAAGAAAAAAAAAAATTCTCTAGCAATAAACACTAAACTGAGCATGTTCAGAGTGTCTCCTAGAGCTCCGTACTATCACCAGATGGAATTATGACTGCAGAGGAAGGGAAGGATCAGAAAAGACAGGATCAAACAGCATTTGTACACAGTATGAAGCATTTACCCTTCAGGTTCCACAGTGAATGTAACAAGCATGCTTTACTGCATATACAGACTGATTGTACTGCTGTGGGTTTAGTAACACTTTAACAACCAGTGACAATGAAATACTGTCACATACAGTCAGGTCCATAAATATTGGGACATCGACACAATTCTAACATTTTTGGCTCTATACACCACCACAATGGATTTGAAATGAAACGAACAAGATGTGCTTTAACTGCAGACTGTCAGCTTTAACGGTGTAGGAATTACAACAGTTTGCATATGTGCCTCTCACTTGTTAAGGGACCAAAAGTAATGGGACAGAATTATAATCATAAATCAAACTTTCACTTCTTAATACTTGGTTGCAAATCCTTTGCCGTCAATTACAGCCTGAATTCTGGAGCGCATAGACATCACCAGATGCTGGGTTTCATCCCTGGTGATGCTCTGCCAGGCCTCTACTGCAACTGTCTTCAGTTCCTGCTTGTTCTTGGGGCATTTTCCCTTCAGTTTTGTCTTCAGCAAGTGAAATGCTCAATCGGATTCAGGTCAGGTGATTGACTTGGCCATTGCATAACATTCCACTTCTTTCCCTTAAAAACTCTTTGGTTGCTTTTGCAGTCTGCTTTGGGTCATTGTCCATCTGCACTGTGAAGCGTCCAATGAGTTGTGAAGCATTTGGCTGAATATGAGCAGATAATATTCCCGAAACACTTCAGAATTCATCCGGCTGCTTTTGTCAGCAGTCACATCATCAATAAATACAAGAGAAGCAGTTCCATTGGCAGCCATACATGCCCACGCCATGACACTACCACCACCATGCTTCACTGATGAGGTGGTATGCTTAGGATCATGAGCAGTTCCTTTCCTTCTCCATACTCTTCTCTTCCCATCACTCTGGTACAAGTTGATGTTGGTCTCATCTGTCCATAGGATGTTGTTCCAGAACTGTGAAGGCTTTTCTAGATGTCGTTTGGCAAACTCTAATCTGGCCTTCCTGTTTTTGAGGCTCACCAATGGTTTACATCTTGTGGTGAACCCTCTGTATTCATTCAGGTGAAGTCTTCTCTTGATTGTTGACTTTGACACACATACACCTACCTCCTGGAGAGTGTTCTTGATCTGGCCAACTGTTGTGAAGGGTGTTTTCTTCACCAGGGTAAGAATTCTTCGCTCATCCACCACAGTTGTTTTCCGTGGTCTTCCGGGTCTTTTGGTGTTGCTGAGCTCACCGGTGCGTTCCTTCTTTTTAAGAATGTTCCAAACAGTTGTTTTGGCCACGCCTAATGTTTTTTTGCTATCTCTCTGATGGGTTTGTTTTGTTTTTCAGCCTAATGATGGCTTGCTTCACTGATAGTGACAGCTCTTTGGATCTCATCTTGAGAGTTGACAGCAACAGATTCCAAATGCAAAAAGCACACTTGAAATTAACTCTGGACCTTTTATCTGCTCATTGTAATTGGGATAATGAGGGAATAATACACACCTGGCCATGGTACAGCTGAGAAGCCAATTGTCCCATTACTTTTGGTCCCTTAATGTTGTAATTCCTACACCGTTCACCTGATTTGGATATAAATACCCTCAAATTAAAGCTGACAGTCTGCAGTTAAAGCACATCTTGTTTGTTTCATTTCAAATCCATTGTGGTGGTGTATAGAGCCAAACATGTTAGAATCGTGTCGATGTCCCAATATTTATGGACCTGACTGTATAGTAGCAGTAGACATACCGCTTCTATATATGATATTTGCTCCTGCCGAACAGGAGGCTGAATGGACAGCAGTTTGGGAATTCTTCCGAATGCCTGGACATCCATAATTCAGTCTGAGCATTGGTTCAGACCAAACTGTCGGCTTATCCCTAATTGGGTTTATTAATGGAGGGGGGGGGTACACAAGGTTATGTACTATATCTCCCCTACACAGATTTCCCTACCCGGCTCCAACACACACTGACAGATAGTTTTCATTTAGTAATATTTCGACTCAAAGTGCTTTATCTGCAGCGGAGGCAGATGGCGAGGCAGCTCAGTCGATTATCATACTAGGGCAGTTTTATACAGGAACCAGTTAACCTATAAGCATGTTTTGAAGTGTGGGAGGAAAACAGAATACCCAAGAAAAAAAAACACACAAGCACAGGGAGAACATGCAAACTCCATGCAGATAGTTCCTGGATCAGACTTAAACCCATGGCCCCAATGCTGCAAGGCAGAAGTGCTTCCCCCTAAGCCACTGTGAGCTCACCCCTTTATTGTGTGTCCATTTCTTCAGATAATTCACTCTGATCTGACCGAAGGAACATGCCTTGTAGTTATTATGGCTCAGGAGTGAATTTTTGGCCATAAATTCAGAATTTTGCAGAACTCAAAACTGGGCAATTCGCTTCCATCTCAAAGACTGTGAACTTCATCCCAACTCATTACCTGTTACTACTATATGACTCAACATCAAATGTAAACTCTACCGGATGTGTTGGCAATCTCCCCTTTTGGACACGAGACACATTCATAGCAGCATTTATGAACTGAAGATCCAAACTTTTTTCTAGTACCGAGCAAACAGGGATTGGAGCATCGAGACACTGGAAGCTGAAATCAAACATAGTACATGTGTAGTATAATAAAAAAACTGTGATGGCTGATTTACTAAAGTATTATACATAATTTAAAGTAGAACTGCATGCAGGCTATGGCCATTAGGATATTTTATATATTCACATAGTGAACCCGGGTCCAGATTATGGACATTAAAGTTTCTACTAAGGATGAGGTTTGGCAACATTGCAAATGCTACACTGCTACATTCATTTTTGCTGAAGCTCTAGCGTTTGTGATGTGGAGGAGATCGAGCTGCAGAGGGAGAAGATTGGATGATATTGGTTGCACCCATCTCAATCCTGAAATAAAGGAGCCTGCAGAGGGCATCTCTGGGATTGGAGTTATTCAGTCAGGTGTTAGGGCTCACATGATGTGCCCAATCAATCGCCAGAGCTGAGGATGGTGGCTTGTCCAGGTAGGTATTAAAGTAGATATATAAACAAAATGTTTTTTGTTTTTCTCATTTTGGATAGAGAAAGGATTATAACTCCTGGCAGATTTTGTTGCCATCTGTGTTCTATTATGGAGATTTCTCTTCACTTCCTGCCCCATATCCAAACAGAAAATGAGAGGAAATCCCTGTAAATTAAGGGAATCAGAGTCAGTGTCCCCATTGGAAGATGTCCTGTCTATTGCTTTTCTGGGAACAACCCTAAATTTGGGATCGTCATTTACTGTCACTTTCAATGATAATGGTAAACAGGACAACTAGAAAGGGTGAATCTCGATAACAGGGGCACAGACAGCAGTAAAAACCTGACAGGTGTTCTAATCAATCTCCACTCCATCCATAATTTAAAAAAAAAGGTTTTGACTTTAGTTATACTTTAACCAGTTCCAGACTAAGCTATAGCCGAAAGACAGCTACAGTGTGTTCGGCTTTGGTCTTTTTTAGTTTATTTACCAAAAAATAAAAACCCCAGTGGTGATCAAATACCACCAAAAAAAATGCTCCATTTGTCTCAAAAAAATGATAAAAATTACGTTTGGGTACAGTGTTGCATGTCTGCACAATTGTCATTGAGAGCGCTGAAAGCTGAAAATTGGTCTGGGCAGGAAGGGGGGAGGGAAGTGTCCGGCAGCCAAGTGGTTAAGGATGGTCCTTACATCAGGGAGTAGATCGGTGCCCACTTCAGCCTCATAGTTTGATGCTGTTCTGCCTAGTACGCCTATTGAGATTCTCTAGGTCATTCAGAGGAGACTGCAGTTGCACTTTTTGTTTATGGGACTGGGTTTGCTGCTGTTTAAGAGAGACCACTCTCCTGAGTCCTGAGTGGAGACCGTAGAGGAAAGGGCCAGAGGGTCCTGTCTGATGTCCGTAAGATCTACTTTCAGAGTGGATGGTATTTGGGCTGCTGTCAGGAATGGACTTGCCAGTGGTGGTGGGACTCACCTGCCTTGTGGGCTGCAGTACCAGGGCTGGCCAGCAGGTGCTTTCAGCAACCAGAGGATCACTCCTGTAATGAGCCATCACCTGAGGCTGATTACAGCAGGTGTATTTAAGGAATGGCCAGGCCTGTGATCAGGGCCTTGGTGTATGTTTCCCATGAGCCCCTGTACCTGCATCCTGTCTGCTTCCTGCCTGATCCTGATTCTGCTTTAATCCTGACTCTGCATGAACTCTGCCTGTCCTGACCTCGGCTATTCCTGACTACGCTTCCGCCTGCTCCTTGTACCTTGCCTGCCCGTTTGCTACCAACCCGGCCTGCCCGACTACGTTTAGTATGGTTCTTATTGTTATCTGTTGGAGGTTTGGTTGCACTGTGTTTATGTTTAGTCTTGCACTGCGTTTATGTATTGTTTAGTCTTTAATAAATTGTATTGTTTATACTATACCTGGAGCCTGTGTTTCCCTGTGTCAGTCCACACATTTCTGGTCATACCCGGATCCCTAACAGCTGCAAATGAAGCCAGCTCTTTTCTGGTGGATAGGAAGTGTAAAATGTGGGCTATGTCTGGAGCTGAAAGTGTTAACAGCAGGGAGTGT